GCGGACAGAACAGGACAGACATGTGTGACGCGGACGACACGCTTATCACCTCCGTGTGCGGCTCCAACGCAGACTCTGCAGCTCTATAAAGACGTGTAATGAGTCTCTGTGTAAACACCGGTGTTTTACTGATCATAGGTCACTAACAGCTTTTTCTTCTTTTTTCTTCTTTACAATTCCATACAAAGAACACATGTGAAATCCTCCTAAAAGCACTTTGAACTACTTTGTCCCTTTTCGGTCATACCCACTCAGTTACTTTTAAAGTGCTTCATGTTTGTGTGAGTAATACTTATCTTTGTCACGATTGCTTGGATGATTCTCATGTTCAACTCCATTGGTAGAAGGAAATCTATTCCAATCAAATTTTTTTGTATAGCACATTTTATAAACCCCATGTCTAAAGTGCTGGACAGATAAAAGTAACACATTACAATATACAAGTCTGCCAGCTTTACATACAAACATTTATAATAGAATCAAAACCAGGAAAATAAATAAAATAAAAAAACAATAAAAACAATTATCTGTATACATAAATACATTTAAAAAACCAATACAATAATTAAAATAGAGCACCACACAACTCACTTGATGTTAAAAGCCAAAGAAGACTTAAAACATTCCAATGAGAGCTTTTTTATAACAGTTCTTTAACCCCTGATTATTTTGAATATTCTACAAATATTTTCAATTAAAGCTGGAGAAGTTCCCCTATGGAGCACAAACCAATGAGCCTCCGCTATTTGTGAAGCTGAGGCTCTGTAGTTGTGGCCTCTGATTACTAATTTAACTCTAACTGTAAGAGGATCAAACGAGAAAGCCTGTTTAAATGTGCATTGGTAAATATACAGCAGGATATACGCAGCTTGAGTCTGGGCATTGGGTCTATTGGACTTTAGAATTATCATCTTTTGGGTTTTATAAGTAAAATATAAGTATATATTTAGATTAAATTGAATATGTTATAACAAATATAAAATAATAACAAAGTAAAACAAGTCCAGGCAGAATTCATGTAAAACCTTTGTCGTACTCTTTTTTTGTTTGTGAGTGTGGAGTTCAAGCTGGTCCGGATTCATCCCAGAATATTTGTTTGGACAGGAAATAAGTTGGATACAAGTTTTTATTGTCGCTTTTCAAATCTAAATAGAGAACTAGATGTTCCAGTCCAAGCCAGCATTTCTTTCCTTCCCCTCTTTTATCTTTTCTGATACACACATGATTTCATTTACAGTTACGCCGCTGTCTGCCATCTGTTTCCACAGCGACGATGCTTAAAGGAGATGTCAGCAACTTAAATTATATTTCATTTTTTAAATATTGTTCATTCTGACCATGGGACTCTGTACTATTATGTTATGTTGTTATTTTTAATCTATTACAAATTCTAAATATTCCCTATCCTTGGCATAGCTACAAAGGGAATAGTTGAACCAATGGCAAGGGACATTAAGGATTTAAATTAATTTTGACCAATCATGAAGCAGTGTGGGGGTGAGCATGGACAGGTCTGATCAGATCTTGAAATGGCTTCACTCTCTCTTCACAGCGAGAAAAGAAACTGACATTGACTCTAAAAAAGGGACGGTTTTTTTCATATTTTACCTTAATCTAAAACCCAAGAGTGGACTTGTTTATATAAGCTGGGATAGCATCATGAGACTGTATACATGCACTAATCATGAATTGAACTCAAATGGCAAATTGATTAAACAACAACAAGCTTTTCTTTACAATTATCTGTTCTGTATCTGTGATGTGCAAACGTGTGAAGGCATGCTGCTGTATTCATGAACTCTCAAATCTATGTTTGCTTCTTAATCAAGGTGCAAAATCCAATATGTTATCTTCAGTATCGTGTTGTATGTTTTGTCTTGCTTGAGGTCAATCATTAAATATGCAACATAATACACCCCAGCCCAACTGACTGTTAGAAAAAACGGTTGAAATTTTAGAAAAGAACGGCCCTTTCCACTTTTTGAACAAATTATTTGAGGAGCACGTATCACCAGAATGATTGACAATTGGGAGGGCCGATAGTCTTGTTCAAAGTCCTCCTATATTCCTTTAAGCCTTTTTTCTGTGTTTGAACATAAACAAGGAAAAGGGTAAGATAAAATAAAAATTCAAAAATTCAAAATCACAATAAAAATGGACCCCCTAACTTTAATCTTTTTTGATTATATGCATTTGACCCAATACTTATGACATTTACAATGCCATTGTGTGGAACAGGGCTGATCCTGTTTTTTAACACTAGAAGTGTGGATTTACAGCAGAATTTACAATATACCCTCAGTAGAGAGTATAAATAATATATATTTATTTGTATAGCACTTTTCTAAACCAGTGAAAAGGAGTTTTTATAATTGAGCTGAATTAAAGACTATGCAAACATACTAAACACAAAATGTAAGAAACACAAATTGTACTAAACACAAAATGTAAGAAATATTAAAACACAGATTCGATCCTGAATGGTAATGTGAATGTAACATGCTTCCGTTTGACAAACTATAGTGGTAAAAAGAACACCCTGAAGACAGTTGGATGGCCCATGATGATGATTTAATTAAAAATCAATTGATCGAGATCTGTTGGTCAAGGTTTCACCCCATCCAACCATAGAGCGTATTGCCTTCAGTCACAGAGAGGCATTAGTCATTACAGCAGGTGCCAATTCATCAGCAGAGTGACTTTGCATCAATTATGAGATTACAGCTTGACATAAATCGTGTTCCCTGTGCCACAGAAGACAGCTCTTTGATTAAATTCTACTCTTGGCTGCTTGAGCCCTCAGGAGATTTAGAAGTTTAAGGCTGCGGTCACAAGCACAACCTAAAGCCTGGTTAAAGTGGTCACCGGATCACGATTAGACCCGAGCTTTAGGTGCCATGTCACCGTGGTAACTGGGCTTAGGCCTGATTCCTGCAATCGTGCTTGGGCACGGCTGCAAGAGGTGGGCCTGAGCACTATTATAAAGCCCAGATGAGGAGTTCATGGTGGTGGGTGATGGAGAGTGGGGAAAGAGGTGTGGTGGGGACGTGATATTGTGCGTCACATTATAGGTCTTGCTGCTGCGCCCGTTGTGATGTGCATTTTCACAAATGTCTACCTGCAGTCTCATACTTTCACATTCTCTCTTACTTGTGTTACACCTTTCATGTAAAAAAGTGCCTTTTCTCTTGACCTCTGTGATTTGTTTGTCCAAAAAGTACATTATTACAATTATGTGTCAAATGAAAGCAATTTGTAAAAAGGCAGGCGCGAGGGCGGCTATGTGGGGAGCGGGGTCCTTCGGAGAACAATTTACAGAGCTGTCAAAATAACTTCAGCAGTGTCTAAATCCGAGTGAGAGTCAGAGACAGGAATGAGCGCTGTGTATGGAGCGATGGATGCTCACGTTCAGCTGCTCTCAATGGCAGCGTCCAAATTGACAGAGACTTCTGTGTATGAGCGGAGGAGGAGGAGGAGCGAGACAGAGGTGTGTGAGGAGGAGCAGCGACTCCTGTGTGTGTGCGGAGGAGGAGCGAGACAGAGGAGCATATTAAAAGCATTAGCAAACAGCGTAGTCGTTGTTTGAAGTGATAGTCTGTAACTCTAAATGAATTACAAATTTTAGGATATGTGTTAAATTGACCTCCTGGCCTTAAATATTGATATAAAATAAGTCATTTTATTAATTCTAATATTACGGGTAAGTCCCTCCTTCCCTTCTCTTAGCTATAGCTCAAAATCCACGATGCTGTCCACGTTAACCAATCGAGTCATGCCAAGGGCTGTCAATCATCAGCGCTGATGCTCACAGCTGCGCGCATGCTCGGTTGTTTGTTTTTGCGGAGCCTCCGAATCAAGCCTCTATTAGGCTCTGGAACAACATGAAAACTGAACAAAGAATTCTGAACATCCGCGCCTATGTATATACTGAACCTATATCCATAATCAGATCCTCTGCAGATATGTCCTATAATGTGCAATTCGCTTTTTTCGTGCGTAAAAACATTATTGTTTTCATTAAAACGTTAACAAATAATTCTGAAAACCTCCGTGCATATGTAATAATAATGTATATGTATAATGTGTTCTCTGATTAACATTTAAAAGTGTTACGGAAACGTAGGTGTAGACCAATCAGAAAGGAAGGGGGAGGAGCTTGCGTCGTTTTTTTCAAATCAAGTACCTCTCAGTCTCTCTTTCTGACAAACTCCAGACAATCACATTAAGGTTTTCAAATCATTTCATATGAAAGAAATATCTTGAATGGATTTCTATGATATAAAATATGTGTATGATGTCTGGACCCTGATCTATTGAACTGATCAAGTAAGTGGACCTCGTGCCAATTTAACTGGGGACCCCTAGCCTAGAGTGAGTATGCTGGGTGCATGAAAGGTTGGTGAGGGTACATACAGGTTGCCTCGCTTCTATCAGTGTGCCCCAGGGCAGCTGTGGCTAGAGTAGTGGCTTATCATCACTGTGTATGGAGTGAATGAACAATGAACACTAAATAAATCCGATGCATTATTGTTATTTATATACTCCCATCAAATTGAGCGTGATTTTTTTGAACATACTCCATACTCTTCTGCTTTTTAAACGCACTGTTTGTAACCCAGGTGATTGCGTTGCTGTCTGAACTGTCTGTCTGGTTTCCTTTCACCGTGGCATTCTTTCACCTCATTGTTTGACTAGCTGGCTGAACATCCTGCCTTTAAACGTCCCTGGACTTTGGCATTTTGATCCATGAGCCATATTGATCATAAGAGCAGCCAAAGCAGGTAAGCACTGTGTTTGCTCAACGCTGAACCTTTCCACATTTATCTGAGCAAACAGCGCATTCTGCAACTCGTGTCTGACATAAGCTGTGATAAGGAGTGTCAACAGCCCGCCGCAGACAAAACCTAAAATACATTTGTTAATATTTTATGAGGAACATGACGGAAGGGATCCTACTTATTTCACCTTTCAGAGGGGATTGAAACAAGTGAAAACCTTACCTGCAGAGTCGTCCCAGTCTGAGAGAAAGGCACATCCTGGAGTGAAAAAGAGAGACACGACCAACAGCAGGGGGCAGTACTTTGAGGAGACTGTCATGATGCTGAAAGAGAGAAATAAACACGCATACATTGGTGAAACGCTTGAAAAGTTCGCAAGAAATTATATTCACCAAAAGCGCTTTACAGTGTTCAGAGTCATGAAGTTATAAAGTAATTTCGATTACTATCACGCTTGTTGCCAGAATCTTCCTGCCTTTAACTCCTAAGCACTGATAACTGATGATATCCACCGGCGGGGGTTTAGGAAGATTGTTGTATCTGGTTTCAGTGCAACATTGTGGTGTGTGGTGCTATTTTGTTTATTTGTCAAATGTGTTGTTAGAAAAATAATCGTACAAAAAAAGAGCCAAAAGAATTTCAGCCAACAGACTGCCAACCAACATGAGAGCCACATTCTGTTCTCTGATTGGATAATCTGCTTGAATATTTAAAAGTGATTCTCTGTAACAGGTGCCTTTTGGGTCCTCTGAATTTGGAACAATGACCAAAAAGTATTGCATTTCTGAAAATTGCATCTGACAAAGGATTATTTGAACCTCTGGTAAAATACTGTTTCCCACCCTAGACATGGAATACCAAATATTACTAGGAATTAGCCATGCATTTTTTTACGGGGTTGAATGTTACGGGGTTGAAAATTCTAGCTAAAAGTAGCCATATCTCCCTTGTTAGCAAACATGTATATACTTTTCCACACAGTTGTTTGATTCTTCCTAAACAATATCTAAATATCGTTTATATGTGTAACAGAGTTGAAAGGTTGAGCTTGACGATATCAATCTCACAGCAACAAAAATGAAATACCGTTAAAAATGTATGCTAATAATTACCTCTCTTCACAGCATGACCTTGAAAAGACCTGAGTCAGTAACTTTGTGAAGGTTGAGGTTGTTGGACTGAACAATTATTTTTCAATTATTTTGCCGTTACGGGGTTGAACAAACTTGGGGGACATGACTACAAAGTACCATTTCATGAAAAAAAAAACATGAATTTTTTTCAGTTTTCTTTTATTTTAGTTAGAGCAGACAGGTATATGATTATACTAGCAGAAAAAAATGGGGTTAATGGCAATTCATATATGTTTTAGATTGAGTGAAAAGTATCTTTGGTCACTGGGGACATGCGTTTCCCTCTGCCATCTGATACTCAGCGACTCATACACTCATAAAATTAATTTATTGGTAACTTTATTTTTTAATCTTTGCGTTAAACCTCTGGGACACAAAAGGCACCGGTTACAGAGAATGATGTAGTGGACATTGGGCATGTATTTTTAATAGAGAATAAGTCAACTTTAAATTAGTAATATGAAAAAAACTGGCCAAAGTGGTACTGCAACCTCTCCCACTCTCCCTGACTCAGGTTGCCAGATATGCAGACGAATCAAGCTGGGACCATAAAAGCTGCAGAGACAAGAGTTTTGTTTTATTCCGTATTTTGTCATTAGTTATTTGAGAATCATAACAAGACATTTTTTTGTTCTGCGGCAACATGACATTCTACAGACAAGGTTAAATACTATGATTTGTACACCTTTTATATGAGGAAACAAAAGATCAAGATGAAATGATAACATACAATAATGCTTCAGCACCAAGCCTTTGCCCGGCAAAACCAAATAAATGGTGAAAAACGGCAGCCCTGCTTATGTCAGTGCTATAGCCCCAGGGCATCAATGGCTTTAGTATGACCATGAAGGGCTGGAATGACGCTTCTCATGTGTTTTATATGTTTAATATGAAAGTAATGTTTCCTTCATTGTTTCGAAAAGCGCTTTGAGTTGCCTGGTGTATTGATCTTCGCCCTGGGCCAAAAAAAAAATGAAAAAGACCACAGTCCTTTTAATCACACAACGGACAAAAATGTTACAAATATTTAGTATATACTTTTTGACAATGTTTTACAGCTGGTAAACTTGAGTCTTTCATAAAGTCTGGTGGCCATGGGTCCTTCCAGTCAAGTTCAGCCTCTAAATATAGTCCGAGCTCACTGTCCGCACCCTTGGCTATTTACAGCTGTACCACCACAACTTGGGGCAGAAGCAAACTGAGGCCAAAGAGCTCAGGCTGAATCACAGGCCTGAGCCTTGGAGAAGCGTTTAAACAGTCAACATATTCTTTGTCGAGAGAAATCAACCAAGAGCAGGTGGCAGTGCAGGTCAGGACATGGCAATGTCAGGTTGAAACAAGCCTAGTACTAGATGTTCAGCGATATGTTTTTTTTCAGGGCCAATAGCAATAAATATACAGTCAAGGAGGATGGTAACTGATAAAAAAAAAGAGCTGATATTAATTTGCAGTAAAATTATTGGTTCAATTCAATAACATTTTATTTATTTAGTCCTAATTTACAACAGCAGTTTACAAAATGGTTAAATCGCCGACAACAGATTTCAGAATCAATAAATAAACATTCAACTTATATTCCAGGTAAGCAATGCTGACTTGTATTTCAAAAAAAATCTAAACTAAACTATTCAGACAGGATTTTGTTAGTTTGGGATTGTTTATGTTGCACCATGAGGGCTTTTCTGAGTGGAGTTGTCTGCATAGGTTTCCTCTGGGTGCTACGGTTTTCCCTACCACTCAAAACAAGCACAATAGCTCATATCCTCCTTCGTCACTGGTCCTAACCCCAAGCGGAGCCCAACATCTCGAGATGGGCCCCGGGGGCAGTACTAGTGTGACTCCTGCTCCTGACAGAGGCCCTGGTGCAATTGAAGGATGGGTCAAATGCAGAGAACATTCCCTTTAAGGACAATAAAGTATAACGTAGCCTTTAGTTGAGTTGAGTTGTATATTATGTATGTGTGGAATGATACGATTATCACAAAAATACATTTATCTAACCAGTCCCTGCTTTACGTTATCTAATCATTCAGATGGATTTATAAAGATTTATAAAGGATTATTATACGGCTTTGTACCAACAGAACACACAAAATAAACTTCAGTCCACTCTTAGGAATGCCAAAAGGTTTATTTAATGACAGAAAATAAAATAGTTCCCAAAGGTTTTCCAGTGACAATGCGAGTAACAGTTAGGCTAGAAACAGCTAGGCTAGTAACAGCTAGGCTAGTAACAGCTAGGCTAGTAACAGCTAGGCTAGTAACAGCTAGGCTAGAAACAGCTAGGCTAGAAACAGCTAGGCTAGTAACAGCTAGGCTAGTAACAGCTAGGCTAGTAACAGCTAGGCTAGTAACAGCTAGGCTAGTAACAGCTAGGCTAGTAACAGCTAGGCTAGAAACAGCTAGGCTAGTAACAGCTAGGCTAGTAACAGCTAGGCTAGAAACAGCTAGGCTAGTAACAGCTAGGCTAGTAACAGCTAGGCTAGTAACAGCTAGGCTAGTAACAGCTAGGCTAGTAACAGCTAGGCTAGTAACAGCTAGGCTAGAAACAGCTAGGCTAGTAACAGCTAGGCTAGTAACAGCTAGGCTAGAAACAGCTAGGCTAGTAACAGCTAGGCTAGTAACAGCTAGGCTAGTAACAGCTAGGCTAGAAACAGCTAGGCTAGTAACAGCTAGGCTAGTAACAGCTAGGCTAGTAACAGCTAGGCTAGAAACAGCTAGGCTAGAAACAGCTAGGCTAGTAACAGCTAGGCTAGTAACAGTTAGGCTAGTAACAGCTAGGCTAGTAACAGCTAGGCTAGTAACAGTTAGGCTAGTAACAGCTAGGCTAGTAACAGCTAGGCTAGTAACAGCTAGGCTAGTAACAGCTAGGCTAGTAACAGCTAGGCTAGTAACAGCTAGGCTAGAAACAGCTAGGCTAGTAACAGCTAGGCTAGTAACAGTTAGGCTAGTAACAGCTAGGCTAGTAACAGCTAGGCTAGTAACAGCTAGGCTAGTAACAGCTAGGCTAGTAACAGTTAGGCTAGTAACAGCTAGGCTAGTAACAGTTAGGCTAGAAACAGCTAGGCTAGTAACAGCTAGGCTAGTAACAGTTAGGCTAGTAACAGCTAGGCTAGAAACAGCTAGGCTAGAAACAGCTAGGCTAGAAACAGTTAGGCTAGAAACAGCTAGGCTAGAAACAGCTAGGCTAGAAACAGTTAGGCTAGAAACAGCTAGGCTAGAAACAGCTAGGCTAGAAACAGCTAGGCTAGAAACAGTTAGGCTAGAAACAGCTAGGCTAGAAACAGCTAGGCTAGAAACAGCTAGGCTAGTAACAGTTAGGCTAGCAATTTTCCAAACCAGAACTCTCTGGAACTGCATGAAAACTGAACAAAGAATTCTGAACATCAGCGGTGAGTGACCCAAACATAAACCAAATCCATAATTCGATCCTCTGCAAATCTTCCTAGAAGGTCCCGGAACTTTTTCGCGATCGCTTTTTCTCGCATTAAACTAGTATTTTTGTCATCAAAACCTCTGTGCATGTATTAAGAATGTATATGTCTAATGTATTCTCTGATTAACATTTAATTGTGTTGATTGATTGGTATTTGCGTTTATTGAGCGTGGCTAGCTCCGGAGTGGCCGGAACTACTTGCGGAGCAATCTACACACCTGAATTACAAGCAGAGAGTGCGTTGCCATGGGCAACGGTCATTATTGTTTTTGAGAGGTCCGTTATAAGAAATAATGACCGGTAGAACGTTTTTAAATTACATTCAAATCACTGGAGCGTTCTACTGCTGCTGTGAGGAGCCGTATAATAAATAAAATTAGTAAATGATCTCACATGTATGTTAATGATTTCAAATAATCGTGAAATGATAAAGTCATTATGATGGCACAGCTCTTTTAGTATAAATGTGGTAAGGTGACAGCAGTTATTCAGGCCTGAATCAGAGCAGAGATTTACAAGTCATTCCACAGATGCAGAAAATAAAGTGTATCTTGTAAGTTTCTGAAACCACGGCATTCTGGGATTATTTAGGTGTCACGCGGTCAGCCAACATTTCTGAAATTGGAGTACTGTCTTTGTGCTTGTGAGTGTGTGTGTGTGAGTGTGTGCTTGAGGGTGTGTGTGTGTGTGTGTGTGTGGCTCAGGAAATGTGGAGGGCATATGAGGCTGCACAACACAGAGGGGGATTCACTGG